TGTTCCACCTCGAGTCTAGCCTTCAGGAACGGTTTAACTGTTCATATGGCCTGGTGTCGCGCTGGTTTCGGTATTCTCCGGCCATAACACATGTTCTTTCTGTTGCCGTATTACACTCAGAAAGGCGGGCACCACGAGCCCCAAAGCATTGCAACAAGACGAAAACCATCAGTGCCGAGTCTTGACAATGCCAAGCCCTCTGGACTATGAAGGCATGCTGGACCTGCTGGGTTGTTAAGGGATTCTACTATCAGTCTCAACTGATCTTGCATGAAGCCGGCCAAGCAAGATTCACCAAAAGTGAGGTTGAATGCCGCTGCCCCGACTCTACACCCTTTGCAGCCGCATACCTATGCAGCCAAAGGGTGTGTCATGGTTTTCTCATCTACATTCTCCTTCTTGCGGGAACTATGCATAACAAGACCCGGGCTTTCTCATGGCACGCCCATGTATTGAAAACGGTATGGCAGGATCAAACCTCACACGCTGACAGTCCACCATACCAAGGATCCAAAATGCTCAATGCTTACAAGTACCTCGATGCTCAATATCATGAGGCAAACCTAAATCTTCTTAAGTCTCGGCAGCCTGCCTCTTCCCCTCCAGCATCTGCTAGACCTTTGGCACCTCTCCGTGGCACTTGCTATGGACTAGACACGAAGTTGGGGCATGTCTTGAGCAAATAAACGCACCTTTCTGGAAGAGCGCGGCTCTTAGCTGGTCTTGGCTTCTGGCTTCATGGTTTAGCATACTGTTTCAGAAAGCTGGTTTTGAACATGGTGGCCAGACCTGCAACGCGCACTGACTCTCTGTCTTTGCATGCTCTTCCTCGCCATTGGGGCATCATTTGCGAAACCACAGAAGATGCTTGCAGTAATTAGCAAGAAGGGTAGAGCTCCAAAATCATGTGACAACACACAAGGCTCTCTCGTTAACCGTATATATTGTAACTCCCATGGACATGCTGGATGCCGAGGCGGCTGTAGCTAGGGCCCAGCTGTGTTCAGAAAGCGATGAAACATGACACAAGTAGGCAGACACGGAGTAATTGGGAGACCGTAGCAACACCAAGAACATTAGGTCATCAGGTAGTCATGATCAGAAAATTCGCTGCAGCATGCCTGTCTAGCCATTGAAGAACAGATCGGAGCCGAAAAGCAGTAAGGATGATAAGCATCATCCAGATAATAACGAGACCAGCATCCCAAGATTCAGTTCCCATGTGAGCCATAGTCTAAACTCCTAGTATGCCCCTCATTAAACCCTATATAACCCCTTTCAAAGAGTTTAGACTATAGCTCATGTCATCCTCCTGGCCTTGAATTCGCTGCAGTAGTTCCATACAAACCCCTGTAACGCACAGAAGGTAACCGCAAGAACCTAGGGAATGTCTCCCTGATTGCATGGATTCCTGCACTCCTCGGAATCGTCTTATTAATGTCTACAGGAGACTAGGGCTTAAAAAGAAAGAGTACTTTAGGATTCAGGGTCTAAGGTTCAACACAGCCACAATATCTTACTGGCTTCCGTATCAGCTGAATTGTTGGCTTCGGTTAGGGTGTAGAGAGCAGCCTGCCAGTTCCCAAAATACGTTCTGCTTTCTATACCAGGCCCTCCAAAAAACTAGCCTTCCTTTTGGGATTCCATGTTCGTTTGGGGGAATATACCCCCAACGCCCAACAGCCCTACTGTAGATCCCTACAAATTCCCATACCCAGCCTTAAATTCCCCCTAAACCCTTTCTGGCGAATCACAAATGTCTGGGAAGCCAAGTGCGGCCGCCTTGCGTGCGAGATGCTGCCATGGCTCGCCTGAGCCGGTGGGAGCTGGAGGGCTCAGAGGTCCCCAATGTAGACCCGAAATCTGCTGTAACCCTTATCATAGGTAGCCCCGAAAAGGTACCCCTAATTTTGGGAAGCCCCCCAAGTATGCTAAGGTTTAGGGTTTAGGGTGGGAGGAAGGTCCACTTGCGTTATAATTACAATAGAACCCCTTCCCCTAAACTTGAACAACTCCTCCACCGCCTCATGATAGGTATGTCCCCAATACTACACACTTTTGGCCCCGTATGAGAAAGAATCGCGATCAGAGGGTATGGGGATGTTTAGTTGGGGGAGGCTGGCGAGGCGCATTTCAGAAAAACAAGGGTACTTTTGGGACCTCTGCTGTAAAAATGCGCAATTACAATTATTCAGCCCAAAAGGGTGAGGTATGTACTATGTAGTTACCTCTTGGGTACTTGCTCCAGAAGGCTACGGTAACAGCTGTACAAGTTTTAGCTTCTCAAAATGATCCCGCGGGGCGCAACACCTACCAATCCATCTGAACTCCAAACAGCCTCTAACCATCACAACCCCGAGGAACAGTACTATCCCAAGATTGAACAGTGAGGTTACTACAGGCGCCAAATATTTTCGTTCCACTATAGTCCTTTGTACTAGTGGTCGTCAGATACACTCCAAAGGAAAAGGTCCAATAGTAGATTTGATAAGCAAGCTATGAGCCTGTGTTGTATTCCTAACTAAAGCCCGCGGGTACCTGTCATATACACACATATGTATACATGCAAATATGACTGAAACACTCAAGCTGGTATGGTCCCAGCTTGATTCTAGGGATGCTCCATCACAAACCCCTAATTTTGAGAGACCCCCCCATGGCCTTCAAACTCAGAACCCGCTCAGAGAAGAGGATCAGGCAATCGCCTTGCAACATCGTAGCGGCAGCGAGGCTTAAGGAAGGAGTTTTTTCGGATCCCCTTCCGCCAGAGGGCTCCAGAATCTTGTGCTTCCTTGCTTGCAGGGAGGTTCCACGCTTTTGACAAAAGGTGGAGGGCGCTACTCTGGGGTTCACAGAAGCAATATCTGTCTGGCTAGAATGGCAGCAAGGAGTCAACTTACACATGCCAAACCCGACGCCCCATAAATCAAACCTCGATTACCTTTTATCTGACGTCCTCCATGACAAACAAACTCAAACCCAAAAGCCTATGGTCTAAAACCACGGCATCTCAACAGACGCACGCACACAGGTGCCTGTTCATTCTCAGCAGCTTCCATTGCCACACGATGCTTCCCGTAATTGTACAGTATGACCCACACTGCCGCAAACATTGTCGCAAACTATGCGTCAAACAAAGACAGAGTTTGTAGATATGCATCCCGGCATTTCTGGACCGTTGCGCTTTCGACTGATGCCAAGGAAGCCTCCTATCTCGTGTGACTGATAGATGGGGCCTAAATATGCTAGAATAGACCTTTGCTGGCGAGACACAGCATTTTACCAATGTGGGAGGAACAAGGTTGTCAATCAACCAAGCTTCAGTACTGAAAGTCAGGGTATGTAGAACTTCTGCACAACGTCAAGCGCTACGTTTGCTTGTTTATGCTCTATTTGCTGTTTGCCCCCCATCCTTGAAGTACCAGTCCACAGCAGCAGGACAGGTGATAAAGACTCATGTCGGGCCAAGACACTGTTCAACTCTGTTCTCTGCAATACAGGAACAGGCATGCACTCGAAGGCATAGTCATAGCCGGTAGGGTATTCAAATGCTTCGGTTGGGCATTTCATGAGTGTGGGCTCCGTGGAAAAAACCAATGAACTGCGGCAAGCCCCATGGTTGAACGACCCTACCACTGCTGGTTATAGCAACCTTCCCCACAGCAAACGCTTGTCAGGACTCGACTTACAATCATTCATGCACTGAAGTTGCTTCACGTTCACCTCGGTGATTCCCCCCCTTGCAAGAGTCAGATATTGGGTGGATGCAAGGATCAGGCAGTCAAAGTACGGCTGCAATTCTGGAATCACGTGGCTTGAAGAGACAATTTCACACTCCCGCTTGTTGGGGCGAGGAGGGGCAGGGGAGGGGCAGGGGCTGGGCGGCCTTGCCTTGCCTAAGTATATCTCCAACAGCCCCTCTCCCACTTCCTACCCCTAACCCGAAGCCGCCCAGCATATTCTGCTTCGTGAGCCCAGAGTTCAGACATAGCTGTAAATATCCATGCGCTTACAGAGCAGTTTCCAGCCAGCAAGCACGAGGTGCTCCCGCTCGTCAATGTTTGTTCCGGAACATATCGCATCGGGGGAGGTTGGTTTTTTGTCGCTAAAGGCTGCGAGGGGGAGCAACCATCTACTGCGTGAGACCCTTTCGCATTCCATGGCTCCCCATGTTGGCCGTGCTTGACGTTTGAAGTGCAAGAAAGTCAATGGGTGAACAGGTTTGAACTTTTGCCTGTGCGATGGTATGAACAAGCCCAGTACTGCAGTAGCTTTTCAGGCGGCTTGATGAACATCATTTGGGACTTAAGAGTGATGGACAAGTTGCTCAGCACCCGCAAGCCAATGGAGTTTGTAAAGAAGGTTCTGGGGCTGCAAAAAAACGGTGCACTACACCTTATGGACTTACCAACGTAGGGAAGGCAGCGCCCCACAATTTCGCACGGAACATCAGACCTTGCCTGCCCCTCGCTTGCATATGATTCTGGCCATTCGTACGCATTGACGCCACCTTCTGTTTGTCGTACATCCACCTGGCATGCCGTTGAAGACCTTTCTCGTTTTGTCCTGCCCTCTTCTGGTTGGAGGTCAATGAAATCTAAGCAAACCTCAAGGAGGCTCCACACCTGTATTTGGCAAAGCCAGGGCTATGAAGCTTCACAGTCCATGCGCCGGCAAGCAGCCTCTTGCTGCACCGATGCTTGGCAACCACCCGGCACAAGTTGCCGGGAGCCCCCGCTCTGTACAGTGATGCTTGTCAGAAATAAAGGCCCATAATTCAAACATCTCGGGTTGAACCGGGAGCCCTCTAGATCTGACGAATGTCCCCATGGGGTTTCCCAAAACTAGAGGTCCCAGTCTCGGAGCTCTTGCAACAGACATTATAGGGCTGTGGCGCCTTTTGGGTTCCTGTGACAGGAATCATAGTGGTCTTGTAGCAGTAGTGGTCGTAGTTGGGGAGTGTAAAGGGGGACCACTTCCTTGGAAATACCACATGGGGACTAAGAGGGCGGCAGAAACCAATCAGAAGACAGAAGCTGTATGAAGCCGGCCAACGACAGCGTCACACAGATGGGTGCCAACAGATACCTGCTTGCTGTGTTCCATGACTCACAACAAATAGACTTACAGAAAAGTAGAAGAATTCTGAATATCGAAAGGAATTATGGTGTACCTGGACTGCGCCAAGTGCACGGAAAACATAGCTTGAAACCTTCAGAAACTCGATTAGCAACTGAAAATTCTCAAGCACCTGCTAGGAGTGCCGGGGCACTGAATGAAAATTGCTGTGGCCATTCCTTCCTTGCTTTGGCCCCCACTTTGGGCCATCACCGCCACGTTGTTGGCAGTGGGCGTGCACGACACCTGAGCCGCATGCATGACTGTACAGGGTCCTTTAAGCTGTTGACCTTCCGGGCTAAGACCGATTCAAAGGTGTCTAAATGCATTTGGCATTCCCGAAATCTGGCCCTGGACGGCAGCCTGGCGGGCATCTCCGGGACAATTGCGAAGTTCAGGAGGCAAGCGTCCAGAGGATGTGAATCTAATCATTACAAAGACAATGCAAAATGGGTGGGAAAGAATTGTGTGCTTAAGCACGAGCACTCCCAAGCTTGAAGGCGGCTCTGAGAAGCTCAGAAGGCATCCCCTCTCTCCTAGCTCAGGGCGATGCTCCAACAAAAACAGTCAGATTTGCAAAAGATGCCCAGGCACCACTAAGACTACCAGCCACAGCGAGAACTCCTTGCTCGGGATGATGCGAATGAGCCCATACACGATGGGAATCATGAGGCCTCGGTGGCTCGTAGCTAGTCTTTTAAAGTCTTTGAGGGAAGTTTCACTGCCGCAGTGCAGAATGAACTCACATTCCACTCTCATCTCTGTGGCTTAAGAATGGTTTGAACCTGCACGAGAGTGTATGCGCTCTCGAAATGCTTGAATGGGCCCAAATTGCCGTGTGTTCGTGCAAGCATGTCACAGCTGATCAGTGAAAATCCCGGCCAACTGTGTTTGTTTGACATGGCGGCCAAGAATATCGATGCACAACTGATTTGAGAAGCAGTGCGTGTGGTAGATGACCTATTTCACTATCAACCCGCCATGCAGCCGCATGTGTCACTAAGATCCCTGTGTCTGTGTAAGAGAAGCACAGAATGAACGACACCATTCCCTAACATGTCGCGGAATGTCACCGCCCCATAATTCTAGTTGTAGCCATGGGAAAGCTAAATGGACATGTTCACATGGCTGGGCAACCTAGTGATATCCCGCAACGGTATCTACACAACGCCTACAACAACCACCATGAAAAATCTAGAAAAATGGCGACAATAAGCTCCAGGAGCGAAACCTCGTGTATCCCTGGGTAACAACCAGTCAAATTGAGGTGGCGGGCCCTGCTTTAGCCATTTTTTCTAAAGCTCTATGCAATGCCTAAACCCTACACCCCTAAACCCCAAACCACGTAACCCAAAATGTTCCAAGTCTTAAGTCCCTGGTCCAGAAACACCAAATCCCTTAATCATGCATCCCTGAACCTAAGCCCCTAACATCCCTAAACCCACATGCCTTTGGGCCGAAACCCCGCAATCCCCAAGTAATCCTTCCACGTGGCCAGGCATTAGGATCAGCTTGCTGACAGCAATTGCCAGGCCCACGCGCAGCGGAAGTGCATTGAAGTCAGCGCCCTCGAGGAGAAGACTCACTGGTCCATTAGGGTGGGGTTCCACTCCATCTTAGCATCCATGGGCAAGCACATGAAGGATTTGTGCAGAAAGGTTCCCTGGCGAAAACATGAATCAGCCTAATGAGTTCAGAGCCTCACACCCCCAAAAAACTTGGTCGTCCATAAAAGCGACAAAGGGCTGAGGCACTCAGGCCGGTCCAAGAGAATAATTTGGACTTAGGTTTAATGACCAAAGAAGCTAAGAGGAACGGCAATAACTAACATGGGCTCCTTACAGCTTATAGGTGAGACCCTAGCAGCACATAAGAACTTTGGAAACTCCGGAAGTGCATGCTGTGATGGTCCCCAATAAAAAAGAACCCTTCCCTGACCAATACCAAAAAGCCAACAAGGCCATAAATTGTGGGCAAAGTGCCCGTCAAATGTCTCTGCCTTGGATAACCCTGCATGGCCCCGGCGCATCCCTTTGTTTCATGAGGCACGGGGCTATAAATTATCTCGGGGCTGAGAGTCTACAATCAACACCTATTTTGGACCTGAAGTCTTGAATAAGTCGGGTAAAACGGCTCCCGCTGAAGGTCCCAAAATGAAAAGGCTGCACGCACAAGCTCAATGGCCAAAGGATCTTTGTAAGTTGAACCCTCTCTCTCTCTCTCTCTCCCACGGCCTCGGATCGATCTTGCCGCGCACAGGCAACACCACAGCTTTCACTGCAGCATCACCATGAAGACCCAGTTGAACCCTAGACCTAAAATCTGAGATGCATGTTTCATTCAAGTGCTACCACC